CAAACTGGCGGTGGTGGCCTCTTCTTCCTGTCCCCGGAAGCTCACTGCCCCCACCCTGGTGAGCTCAGGCCATGATGATCAATCAGCCCTCCAGACCACCCCAGGAAGGGCCGGGGACTCCCTAAGAAGGAGAGGGTACGGAGAGCAAGGCCACCCTGGTTCTCCAGGCAAAGAGAAAGGGGGATGGGGGGGGATGGCTGTGAAGGGTCATGGCATGGGTCGGGGGAGGGTGCTGCTGAGGTGGGAATTCCAGAGCTGGGAAAGCTTTGAGAAATGACCAGAGCCTGAGGTAAGCCTGTAACTTAGGAGGGAAGAAAAGTGCAGATTTGAGGAAAGAAAGGAAAATGTGAGTAGATTTGGCAAGAGATGAGTCCAGAATGAAACCTTACTCCCCCCCCCCCACCATCCCCTCGGTGTCATGGCCAAGCTGTAACAGATGGGAGGTAAGAGTCAGAAATGAGATGCCAAGGAACTCAAAACCGGATCCCTGCTTCCACTCTGTGCCTGATGGAGGAATCTGACAGGTAGTTCAGGGATGGAGAGGAGAGCCATCTCATGGCTGTGGAGCTTTAAAATCACAGTACAGTGCTGTGGTGGTGGCAGTTTCTATGCAAATTTGTTAGACTCGGTCAGTCCACCGAGTGTTTATAACACACGTGAATTCCACTTTTAAAAACGTCACCATTTGATAGAAAAAAAAATGTGATAAATCCTAGACCTATTGTGCCTGTGGTTTCTGAAATGTTCTTCCTGCTGGTGTCAGGTTTAAGGGGAAAAAATAACCAAGTGGGGAAAAAAGTGAGCAGGATTCCAGTTCTTTTTTGCTCACTGGGGAACATACGCTTTCCAAACACAGGAGGAGAGGAGCCGCCTGGGTTCCTTTCCAGCTGAGTCTGGGTTGGCTCCAGAACAGACTCACTCTACCCAAGCTGACAGCCTTTAGTTCCAATATTTTTCTGAGAAATATACAGTGTCATGGGGGCTCCTTAGGGAGCTGCCCTAGTCCCAAGGAAATCTCTAAGGCGGGGCCCTGATGTCTAATAATCAGCATAGAATCAATGGAGGGCGGGGCTCCTTCCCTCTCAGGTACCTACCAGTTTGAGTGACTCCGCCTATGGAATGAACAAATGAATGCTAAACTTCACGTTATCTGTAGATTCAAAGAGCTTTTAAAAGGCCTATCAATGCCGTGTATGGACCTTGTTCGGGTTTTTATTCAAACATAGAAAAGGAGACAGTTAGGAAAGTTGGCCACTGATGAGATAGCCGACCATTTTATTTGCCTTGCGACGTGTTTTCCAAAACTTTTAACGTTGTCATCATTTTTACAATAAGAGATTTCACATTAAAATCCAGATTTCCAAATGGGAAGATCTGGCCACAGATAGGCCCATCTCCTCACTCAGCTCCCATGGGCTGGGATGAAGAAGTGATTGTTCTCTTTTGGTCTTCAGGTCCAGAAATAAGTGCCAATTCTTTATGAAGTCTTCTCTGAACACCCCAACCAGAAGTGATTTTTCATCCCTCTGAGCTCTTGGAACACATTTTAATTACTCACCCAGCTCCCAGCAAACACTGCCCATGCTTGTTTTTTTGTAAACCTCTTACTACCCCTCCTCCCCACTCCCCTTACACCTGGGTGGGATTAAGGCCTTTAAAGGCTCTAAAGGCTGAAAAGATCATGGAGGGCGCTTCCCCGTATGTACTTTCAAAATCAATTTTATTTTACTCAAAGTGGTGGTGTTTACAGGTCAGCTGAAGCCACACTTTCTAGATTAAAAAAAATTCTCCAACTTCTGGTTTTGAAAAATTTCAAACCCACAGAAGAGTTGAAAGAATAGTAAAACAAACATCTAGATAATTCACCGATTTTTAACATTCTGTGATACTTGCTGTTTTTTCCCTCTGAACTGCTTGACAGTTTCAGACCTTAAAATACTTTGCCCCTAAACTCTTCAGCATTGATTTCTTTTTTTTTTTTAAAGATTTTATTTATTTATTTGAGAGAGAGAGAGAATGAGAGATAGAAAGCAGGAGAGGGAAGAGGGTCAGAGGGAGAAGCAGACTCCCTGCTGAGCAGGAAGCCCGATGCGGGACTCGATCCCGGGACTCCAGGATCATGACCTGAGCCGAAGGCAGTCGCTTAACCAACTGAGCCACCCGGGCGCCCCAGCATTGATTTCTTAAGAAAAAGGACATTTTCCACAGTATCATTCTCACGCCCAAGAAATTTGACCTTAATACAATATTATTTAATACATGGTTCATATTCAAATTTTCCTCGTAGCCCCAATAATCAATGCTCTTTAAAGCTATTTTTTAAATCTAGTTTCTTTTCTTTTTTTTTTAAGGTTTTATTTGTTTGAGAGAGAGAGAGAGAGAGAGCACAAGCAGGGGGAGTAGCAGGCAGAGGGAGAAGCGGGAGCTGACTCAGGGCTCCATCCCAGGACCCAAGGATCATGACCTGAGCTGAAGGTAAATGCTTAACTGACTGACTGAGCCACCCAGGCGCCCTTTAATCTAGTTTCTAATCAAGGACCATGCTTCGCGCTTGGTCTCTTTAGTCTCCTCTGATCCAGAACACTCTCTGATGTTTTTAATCTTTCATGACATTAACATTTTGAAGCATCCAGGCCAGTTGTTTCATAGAATATGCCACAGTCTGGATTTGTCTGAATTTTCCTCATTATTAGATGGGTTCAACATCTCACAATGGGTTCAACATTTTGAACATTTTTGCAAGAAACCATAAAGATGGAGCGCCTGGGTAGCTCAGTCAGTTAAGCATCTGCCTTTGGCTCAGGTCATGATCTCGGGGTCCCGGGATCCAGCCCAGAGTTGGGCTCCCTGCTCAGTGGGGAGCCTGCCTCTCCCTCTCCCTCTGCTGCTCCCCCTGCTTGTACGCTCTCCCTCTCTCTCAGGTAAATAAATAAAATCTAAAAAAAAAGAAAGAAACCATAAAGGTGATGTTGCATTTTTCATAGATTGTCCGTTTGTGAAGTTCCAGATAAATTCATCAAAGCTGAATTTATGTGTATCTGCTTTGCTGGCGCCTTAATCACATGTGTTTCATATTCACAGTCATGGCTACCATCATGTGCATCATGCAAAACATTGGTCTCTGCATACACATAGGAGCAGGGCTTTGGGTACTTTATAATGCCAGACTTCCTTCTCCCCCCACCCCCACCTCCCCCCCCCTCAACCCCCCCCCCGACTCCCACGGAATCCCCTCACTCCCCCACATCCACCCCCAGTATTTTTTTTCTCCATCCCCAGTATTAATCTACAACCTCACCAACACTTACTGTCCACTCATTAAATTTGCTAAATCTGTAGGTGTAACATGATGTCTTGTGGGTTTCATTTGTATTCTCTCAACTGCTAAAGAGTTTGAGCATTTTTTATGTTTATTGGTCATTTGTGATTTCTCTCCCGTGGGAGACCTGTTTATGCCTTTTGCTCACCTCTTGGAGGTTGTCTTTTCCTTATGTATTTTTAGATCTTTATGCATTCTGGATGCTAATCATTTATGAACTATATATATATGAATCTCCAACTTTCATGAAACAGTATCGCTTAAGGCTAAGCACATGGAGACTACTGGTCAGACATTTTGGGTTCAAATTCCAGTTCTGATAGTAACAGTGTGACAGTGAATAATTTAACTTCTCTCTGCTTTAATTTCCTTATCTATGAGATGGGAGTGATAATTGTGCCTACTTTGTCAGGTAGTAGGGGGATTAAAAGAATGAATATAGGTAATGCAGTTAGAACAGTGCCTGGCACATGGCAAGAGTCAATAAACGTTTGCTGTTATTAGCTTCTTCCATTTTACAGCTCCCATGTAATTTTTTTTAAAGATTTTATTTATTTATTTGAGAGAGAGAGAATGAGAGATAGAGAGCACGAGAGGGAAGAGGGTCAGAGGGAGAAGCAGACTCCCCGCTGAGCAGGGAGCCCGATGTGGGACTCGATCCCGGGACTCCAGGATCATGACCTGAGCCGAAGGCAGTCGCTTAACCGACTGAGCCACCCAGGCGCCCTACAGCTCCCATGTAATTTTGAGATACAGAGGGCTCATCAAAGTGCGTGTCCCACAAGTGGCCTCCTGCCCCATACCTACAGCCCCATCATAAACTGCTTCCCTACAACCATGTGCCACACCACACTAATAACAGGGGTGACTCAACCTTTTACAGGCGAGCACCCAGGAAGTGATGTCTGCCCCTCAAACGTGCACCAGGCAAATTAAGTTTTTCCTTGTGAATGGGAAAAACATTCTGCAATCTTGAAGGGCCTCCTCCAAAACCTAGAGAGATTAATGTCAGTAAGCCCTCTCCTTCACTGTAAAGACCCACAAACACCCTAGAGATAATTCATGCAACTTTGAGACCTAACCTGTCATGATTTGTTTTGCAACACTATATTTTTATTTATTTATTTGACAGAGAGACACAGTAAGAGAGGGAACACAAGCACGCGAGAGTGGGAGAGGGAGGAGCGGGCTTCCCGCCAAGCAGCGAGCCCCACGCGGGGCTCGATCCCAGGACCCTGGGATCATAACCTGAGCCGAAGGCAGACGCTCAACGACTGAGCCACCCAGGCGCCCCTATTTTGCAACACTTTAAAGAAAGGCTCTACTCTTGATTGAGCCCCTAGCACCTCACAGGAACCTCTCCCCGGCCCTCCGCAACCTGTCTTCGGGCCTCTTCCCCCTAACTTGGGTCATTCTGTAGTGTTTCAAAGACTAGCAAACTCCGGATACAAGCGCACCCAGGAGGCACTCAGTATAATGCTCCCTAAAGGAACGAAGGAACAAATGAGGAAAGGAAGGAATGTTAACCGCGTTCCTATGCAGACGGGATGAAAGGAAAAAAGGAATGTTGGAGGGCCAAGCCGGCTGATGATTGGCTGGCTCCCCGCACAGGGTTGCGAGGAGAGCATGGAACGTACGAGAGGGTTTCTTTAGACCAGGAGGTCCCTGCCCAGCCGGTCAGGACGTGGTGCGCAGGGAGCAGCGCGGCAGAGTTTGCGGGTCCCAGGCGGGCGCGGCGGCTCTGCGGGCCGCGCCCCGCCCCCCGCCCCCCGGCGCCGCGGCCGAAGCCGGCCAGACGGCCGCGCCGGAGCCTGCGCACTGGGCCTCCAGCGCCACCAGCGGTTGCAGACGCGGCTGCTCGGAAGATGGCGGAGCGTCCCGGCGCCGGCGGCAGCACATCCCTGAGGGGGATGCGCGAACGGATGGGTGAGCGGCCTGGCGGCTCCCGGGGGAACTCGGGCCCGCGCGGGAGGCGGGCTTCTCGCAGCCCCGGGGACCGTTGGAGCGGCGCGGAGGGCGCCAGAAAACTTTTACTCCGGCGTGGCCTCGCGCCGTCCGGTCCTCTCCTCACCCGCCCCGGAGTTCCCCTGGACGGGAGGGAGAACCGTTGTGGGGCGGGGGGGGGACGGCCGGCCGGCAGCACCGACGGCCGAAGTCCCGCGGCCGACGGCCCAACGGTCGCCGCCACCGGCGGAACCCCGCGGGCGGGGCGCGAGGGAACTAACGGGCGCTGGTGGTGGAAGGGCCTGGGACCCCGGACCCCGCGGACGGTCCCGAGCTCCGCCTGCCGTTGGGGGGGGGGCGGTGGACGCCCGCGCAGCCGCCGAACTGACGCGCCACAGCCCGGGATGTGCGGGCGCCCGCCCAGACCCCGCGCGCGCGGGGGCAGCCCTTCGAGGCTCCGAGAGCCGGGAGTTTTCCCTCTGCGCGGGGCGCTCGCGCTCGCATCCTCTCCCACGGTCGCAGTCCTTGCCTCTCCCAAGGGCTTAATCTGCCGCACCCTCCCGGTCGGTGTCCGGTGAGGACGGAGCCCTGGGGGGCTGTTGCTTTGAAAGTTGGAAGAAACTTGTCTCTCCGCTGCTCCTGATTTGCCTGCTGTAGCACATGACTTCGCCAAGATGTCACCTTCCGTGGGACATCTTGCAGACCCTAGGCTGCAGTGAACGGGAAGCAGCACTTCATTGTGCTTTCTTCTAAACTGGTCCCAACGCCAAAATGTTTTCCCCCCTAAAATCGTTAATTTTATAAGATTTGGCAACGCATGGCTTAGCCCAGGAGACTGCTCTGCTAGCTGAAGGAAATGGTATTTCTCGCTTTTGAGAACTTACTTGCTGTTCTCAGGCTAGTTTCCTAGTACTATGAACTTGAGAATAAGACGATCTTAAGTGATCTTACTGAAATCCTTAGGGATTTTTTCATTTGCAGTTGAAAAATTGGCTGCGAATGGGGAGGCTTTGTGTTATTTCAGATTACTTCGAATCAACTCCCCAACGTATCAGAAGCAAATACACTTTCATCTTTACCTAGAGAGTCAAGAGTTTGCAGTAAATTCGGATTGTTTTATTGTTTTGTCGACACCTAAGGCTCTCCGCCATTGGTTTATTTCAGTGATTTAAAGTAACCAACATTGTGGATAACCCCCCTCCCAAGCATTTTTGGGTATTCAATGTTGTGAAGTATTTTAAAATCTTGTATGAGACAGTTGATTGGATTCACAGTATTTCAAGCCAAAAACTTAGTCATGCAAAAAGGGCTTAACCCAGAACCCTAATTGACTCCTTGTTGCCCATTTCCTATTAGGAATTGAAAACATCACATGTTATATGTTAGACTTTTCACAGAGTACCAGCTTTAACTAGATTTGCCCTCATGGTCTCAGCGTTTTCCTGAAGGGGACAAGGAGTCATTGAAATGTTTTGCCACTTTGTGGCAAATGAAATGCCACTGTGACAGTTGCTTTTTATTCTCTTATCCAAATAACCATGAGTAGCCCTGAATCTGTTAATCTGGTAAATTTTATTTCCTGCTGGGAGCCTGGCTCCAAGAGTTAAAACATTGTCCCTGAACAAATAACTTCTCAGGTGCAAGAATTATGTACCTTAATTGAATTATGTTTTCTGTGCATAGCACTGTGCTAAGATTGTAGCATACTGAAGAAACAGACTTTTTAGAAATTTTTATTTACTTGAAAGGGGGAGGGTGGGAGCATGAGGGGGGAGGGGGGTGGGTGCGAAGCAGAGGGAGAGGGAGAAGTGACTCCCCGCCGAGCAGGGAGCCCGATGTGGGGCTCGTTCCCAGGACCCTGAGATCATGACCTGAGCGGAAGGCAGACACTTAACTGACTGAGCCACCCAGGTGTCCCAAAATACACTTCTTTTAACAAAACATGTGTTTTATATTTTTATACATGATTGTTTTAAGATAACTTATGTGAATGTTTCAACCTGATGAGCATAAGAAACTTTGCCACTGACTTGTCACCTTTTTTGTTTTTCTAAATGCTCAAGTAATTTCTAAGTTTAGGGTAAGTTACTCAGAATACTTTAAACAAATACAGAAAAAGCTACTAAGATTGAGTCAGATCATTATAGAATTTTAGAGCTGGAGAAACCTTAAGGTTCTCAAGTGCAGCACCCAGAGTCCCAGCTATAAAATCCTGGGCAGCTTCTACAACTTGAATGTGTATTCTAATAGCTTCACAGTTTTCCAAGTAGCCATTCCACTGTAGACAGCTCTGAATGGTAGGAAACTGTCTGTAATTTACTTTAAGACATGCTGTCTTTGAGGAGTTTTTTGTTTTGTCTTAAATTTATTTTTTAGTGATCTCTGTACCCACTATGGGGCTCAAACACAGGACCCAGAGATTAAGAGCCTCGTGCTCTTCTGACTGAGCCAGCCAGGTGCCCCAAGACATGCCATCTTTGGATTGGTTCTAGGGATCTTTAGGAAATCTCTTTCAGCCCTATGACTTTGTTGCTGTTCTAGGCAAAACTACGTGAATCTGCCTTATTTTTGTGGGCCCCTAATTGCAGATATCTTTGATTTCCTTTTTTTAAAAAAATATTTTCCCACCCTCTTCCTTGCCTAATGACTGTCCTAATGCCATGAGGAGAGATCCTTGGTATGGGTGGAATGGATCTGCCAGGGACTACGCCACTCTCAACTGCTCAGCTTTGAATGAGAGTGGATTAGGACAGAGCCAGCAGCTGTGGGAAGGGGGGGTCAGGTATTGAGCTCCTGGAACAGTCTACTGCTAGACCCCCCCCAGTGCACTATATCCAGCAGGAGCCCATGATAGGAGTTTGTGGCAATTGCAGCTGCTTATTCTGTTTTCCAAATCACAGTGAGTAGCACTAAATCTGTTAATCTGTAACAATTAGTTTCATAGTATAGTGGTTCTCTGCCACAATGGTAGCCATTCTATTTAAAAAACAACAACAACAACCTTTCAGTCATTTTTTGCAATCTACGCCCTTTGCTACCTAATAAAAATACTAGTTTATGTGATCTGATATTTCTAATGACTACAGAAGAAAGGATCTTGGGGAAGAAAGGTCATGGTGAAATGGGGCTACAGATGTTATGTTGAATTCTGAGTGATGATATCAAGAGCAACAGCTGTGGCAGACAACATAGAATTGCTGAATAAATATTGGGATGAGTATTTATCATTGGCATCTCATGGGATTAAGCATTTTGAAGTGATTGTGCAGCTTTAGGAAGATTATTACCATACTTGAACTAGTTGTCACGGAAAAGTGTTCTTCCTTTGTTGTGTTTAGCTTGCCCTGGTGACACAGATCCAGGGCATATTGGGGGAGGGGGTGGCAGAGAGAAGCAGAAATTTCCACTATATTGAAGTTGGTAATGAGCTAAAATGCTTTATGTCCAAAAGAAGCCTCAAAATTTCAATGACATCTTTTAAAAAAAATCTAATGTAAAGCATTCTTTAACTTTGGCATCTTTAGTGGTGCCTATTTTTGGTTCATTTGATTCTGAGGCCTTTATTGGGCTAGATATCCAGGATGATTGAGTTTTTAATTAATTTTCCCCTCCTAGGAGGGAAAACAGAAGTAACCTTAGAAGTAGCAGAGGTGGGGGGCGCCTGGGTGGCTCAGATGGTTGAGCGTCTGCCTTCACCTCAGGTCATGATCCCAGCGTCCTGGGATCGAGTCCCGCATCGTGCTCCCTGCTCAGCAAGGAGCCTGCTTCTCCCTCTGCCTCTCTCTCTCTGTCTCTTCTGAATAAATAAATAAAATCTTAAAAAAAAAAAAAAAGTAGCAGAGGTGGGAATAGAGAACTAAGTCGTATAAAGGTTAATGTGGTTTTTGTACAGTCTGGTCCTTGATAAGAAAGTTGTTTCTTAATCTACAATTGAATCAAGGTCTGGCTTTACCAGTTACTACCTGTGTGATCTGGGAAAGTAATGTTTAGCTTCAGTTTTCCTTATCTATAAAAAATATAGGATTGTTAGAATTTAATGAAGTCATACAAATGAAAAGAATTTCGTAAATGGTGAGGTGATATACATTATTTGTTATAGCAATTTTTAGGAAAGTACCATAAATATAGATTAAGGTTCATATTTCCGTTTTAGTAATAAACTATGCATTTTCTTAACTTACTGGCAAAAGGTAACTTTTCTTTAAGATTTTATTTATTTGAGAGAGAGAGAGAGAGAGAACATGACTGGGCGGGTACAGAGGGAGAGGGAGAAGCAGACTCCCCGCTGAGCGGGGAGCGGGATGGAGGATGGATGCAGGGCTCCATCCCAGGGCCCTGAGATCATGACCTGAGCCACCCAGGCGCCCTGCAAAAGGTAACTTTTAACTTTAATTTGGGACTCAGAATTAGTATAGGAACTACAGAAATAACTGTAGTATACTTAAACTGTACCTTACTGTAGCTTTAAAATGAATGGTAAGTGAATTCCTTCATTCAACGGAGTTGAATAAAATACTCTGTTAAGTTCAGACATAAAGCCTTTCAACCATTGCCTGGACATTTTAAATAACTTCTAGAGCCTGTCCTTTTGGTGAATGTATTTCTTGCCAGTGGGAATTTGGATATGAAGTTCTATGAAGTCCTAAAAATCAGACTTGATATTATTACCACATTAACCTTTAAATTATTTAGTTCATTATTCCTACCACAGCTAATTCTGAGGTTACTGCTCTTTAATAAGATCTTTAAATATGGTAAAATTCTACCTTTCGAGAGAAACTGTCCTTATGGTCAGGTAATTTGTGCCAAAATATGAACTTTCTTTGGGACTTCTAAGCAGGAAAACGGAATGTGCAAAACCAACTGTTTTTTTCTGTGCTCACATAGAGATGTCACAAGTGGGAGAGAGTGTAGGAGGGATTAATTAATTTATAGACTATATTTAAGAATTGTTCCTAATATACTAGTATGCAAATTCAGAGGATAATCTGTGGTCCACAAAATTGCTGGTAGTCGAAGGAAGCTGAGAAGAGTCTAATCTTCAAATTTAGCTAAATCATGGATTATCTGAGCTGTTAGGTCTCTGGGGTAAAAAAAAAAAAATTCCTTTTTCCCTTTTGGAAATAGTGGTCCCTATGGCAGCAATTATGACATCACTTTCAAGGTAAAATGACTGTAAAATGACTCCCAGATATCTTTCCTCAGTGGCAAGGAACATCTCAGAGTCCTTTCATTCTTTAATGACAATGACAGCTACTCTGTTCCTTTAATTATTTTAACTGCCCATCTTCAACTGTTATATTTTTTCCTGATATATAGAAAACAGAATTGTGTGCAGTATCACAGGGGCATATTTCCTGTGCTTTCACAAAGGTAGAGGAGAGTTTTCAGTGTTAATCTCCAGATCCTTCCTGAAGATTCCCAACATTGTGGGGCATTTTAGATACAGCCATAAATGGAATTAAAGGGCTCAGGAATCCCCTATAATAATTGGTGTGTGTGTGTCATCCTGGCATTTGTTTTTCTTACTCTCCCTCAAATTGTGCTCCCCTAATCTTGTATTTCACCTTTATTGAAGTTTATTTACCACTTTTGGGCCTGTTTTACAAGGCATGTGTAAATTTATCTTTGTTTGCCTGACATTTTTCTACCTAGAATAATACTGTTTCAATGGAAATTCCTTGAGTGCTTCTCCACTTTCCCTGCATTAGAATAGAGCTTTTAGCAACTGGAAATGCCTGGACTTCCACCCCAGAGACTGGGGGTGGGGAAAGGCAGGCTTTGCTAATATCTTTAAAGCAACTTAGGTGAAGAAAACCCCACATCTAGGTAATTTATAAATGTACTTTATAATATTGGGCCCAAGCTCTTGAGGATCTCACTGTTGACACTTCTGCTTCCAAATTCAGATCCGTAAACACCAAGTCTTTTCTAAATTCTCAGTTTATGGTAAAACAGTTTTTCCAACTCTGTCCCGGTTCAGTTTTTCCAACTCTGTCCCGGTTCAGTTTTTCTAGTACTTGGTGTAATGTCTTGTCTGAGGCCTTTTTGAAAGCTGTTAATCATTAGCTCCTACTCATCCACAAGCTTGTGCTGCCACTCCCACTAACAACTCTTAAGTCCACAGATAGGCTGGCACATCCACAATAAACAGCTTTAATTTTTTCTTCAACTGTTGTTGAACATCACAGGAACTCAATATGGCTTTGTTGTTGACCTGGATTAATCTGTCATGATTTTGTCTTCTAGATGAGAGATGCTATCCTGTATCATCAAGGATGATTGCTGGAGTTTTGCCTCCCCTTGTATTAGCTGTTTGTATTCATAGTATCTCATCCCTTCCCTTTATCTCCCTGTATTCTAGTTGCTGCTGCGCAAGCCATTGCTGAAGAAAGACGGAGTCAGAGTGGTTTCTGCTCTCTTCCATCTCAGTCTGCAAATATAAGATCAGCTTTTAAACCAGGTGTAATTTCTAGAATGTTTTTTGATAGATGTCAGAGTGTCATGTCATTAAAATTGGATCTGTTAATGCTTTACTATATTTTCCTTTTTTGTTTTTAGTAATAGATGGGTCCGTGCTTAAAAGTGTTGTGAAGCAGAGGTTGGCAAAGGAGCGTAGAGAGGAGAAGACAAGACAGCAAGAAGGTATATTTTAGACTTTTTAAAAAAATCGGAATGAATAAGTTTTCTGTCAAGGTTACGTATTTTCAAAATGATTTTATCTACTTTTCTTGGTCCGTTTATATCACAGATTACATTTTTTCTAGGATGTATTATATTGGATTCAATAATTATACTAAGATAAAGAAGGCCTATGAAAAATACTTGATTAGTTTAATTTTTGAAGTAGTAGTTTCTGTTAGCTCTAATTTTCTGAAAACTAAGGTATGAACATTTCAGCATTTGTAGAAACAAGCAGAATGGGGTTTCAATAAAAATGCCTCTAAAAAGGAAAATGAAGTTGCTAATAATCCTAACATAGGCTTCTCAAGTGTAAATTAGGATCTAAAAGAATAATCTTTTTACACCTCAGGAGAATGCTTTTCTCAACTACTACCCATTTTTCGCTGGCCTTTGAAATCCCTTGACAAAACTTGTGCTCAGCTTTATTCAGATGGATATCATTTGTCTTTGTTTTGGTGAGGGGTTATTTCTTCCTGGAGCTCTTCAGGAGACTATTTTAGAACTGCATAGATGCTCTGCAGGCTTTAGTGAGGGGAATTTTGACATAGGAAAATATCATGCTGTTCCAAGTGTGGTGTCTTAACTCCGTGAGTGTAAAACTGGCGTGCTTAAATATGGTCTGCATAGATGAGGCCTTTGAAAGAAGTTTCCTAGTAGAAGGAGAAAAAGAACATTCTGGCCATGTGTTTTCTTTTTAATTCTTATTTTAATGTATTTAGCGTGTTAATCTGGTGGGGTTTAACTTCAGCTCAAATCAGCGGAAATATCACATGAAAGAAAATCTTTGTTTTTAATTTGGAATTTTCGTTTGGACAGGATATGAGGGTCATCTAAGCCATCTCTGTTCTCTGGAGTTAAATGAACACGCAGTGCAAATGATTCTTTAGTGGCCATTCTCATTCACTTATATAATGTAATCGTCTGTTCTTAGCATAGGTCATGTTCTTTTTAAGAAAGAGAAGGAGATGCATTAACTTTGAGGATTGTGGAAAACTTAAATATTTTCTTGGCTCTTACACCTCAGATGTATTTGGAATTTTTCAGCTAATAAGGAAACACAACTGCTTGAAAAAGAAAGAAAGTCCAGGATCCAGTATGAAAAACAGATGGAAGAGAAGCAACGGAAACTGAGAGAACAAAAAGAAAAGGATGAGCAGCGGAGAATATCCGCCGAAGAAAAAAGGAAACAAAAATTACAGGAAGAAAGGGTACAGTACATGTTTCCTAGCCTGTTAATCAGATGCTACGCGGTGTAGCCTGGCACTGGAATACTTTTTTCTTAGCCTTTTACTGCCTTTCCTGCGCCCCGCTTCGCGCCAAAAGACCCAGCCCCAGTTCTCTCTTCTTTCTTTCAGCAGTAGAGCCTCTTGTCCCTGTCCTCTCAGATCCCTGAGTTTCGACCTGCCAGCTGAGCTAAAGAGGAGCCTCACGGGCCCCGGAAGAGAGCCCTTCCCCGCTCCGGGGTGTGGCCCCCTGGTGTCGCAGCCCAGGGTTTGCTCTGAGCTCTATACCAGCGCCCTCATGTTCACGGACCCATCGATAGGCCCCCATCTTACTTCTCACAGGGGCTTCTCTGACTTGAGTGCAGGCCAGTCAGATGACGGTGCTTGCTCTCCCATCCGGCTTCCTTCCCCTGCCTTTCTGCCTGGCACGCTCTTCCTCCCTGCTGTGCTGGGGCCCTGCCTCTCTCTTTACCTTCCTGGACTCTCTTGGTGTCTGGCACTCTGTTGGTATGAGTCACTGCCTTCATGATGCCCTCTCTTTCCCCTTCTGTTCCTCTTCAGTCTGTTTGTCTTTTAGTGTCCGTGCTTGGGCATTGAAAGGCTGCTTGTCTTGTTCTGACGCTCTCTGACACCAGAGTTTTCTCCTGTAGGTCATTCCACTACTTCACTCTGTGGATCCTTGACTCCTTGTGAATCTGCCATGCTCTCTGGGACACCATTCTCTTTCTTCCTGACATTCTCTCTTTGGCTTTATTCCAGTGATTCTCAGGTGTCCCTAAGTCTTAGTCTGTCTTCTGGTACTCCGGGGCCGACGGGGCCGACTGTGACCTTTTTTAGCCTGAGGCGCCTTACTCTTCCTTCTTCTTTGTTTTTGCTTCTCTCTCTCTCTCTCTCTCTCCCTCCCCCCCCCCCCCGCCCATCTTTGGGCTTTCTGCCTATTCTCTCAGTATATGTGTTTTTATCTCTCCCTCTTTTCTTCTGTTGCTCTTTTTTTTTTTTTAATTTTTTTTAATTTTTTTTTTTTTTAAAGATTTTATTTATTTATTTGAGAGAGAGAGAATGAGAGATAGAGAGCACGAGAAGGAAGAGGGTCAGAGGGAGAAGCAGACTCCCCGCTGAGCAGGGAGCCTGATGCGGGACTCGATCCCAGGACTCCAGGATCATGACCTGAGCTGAAGGCAGTCGCTTAACCAACTGAGCCACCCAGGCGCCCGCTCTTTTTTTTTTTTTAAAGATTCACCTATTTGAGAGAGAGAGTGCGCAAGAGAGCAAGCAGCACGAGTTGGGGGAGGGGCAGAGGGAGAGACTCCCCAAGCAGATTCCCTGCCAAGTGTGGAGCCCAATACAGGGCTGGATCTCAGGATCCATGAGGTCATGACCTAAGCTGAAACCAAGAGTCAGACACTTAAAACTGGCTGAGCCACCCAGGCGCCCCTGTTGCTCTAATTTTAAATTTTCTTTTTCTGTCTTTTCTTTTTGTTGTCATTTGTCCCCATGAGGCTTCTTCTCTGTGGGGCTCACTCTTTCTCCTTGTGCACACAGTTGCTCTCACTCACCTCACCCCCAGCCCCTGCCTCGTCTGTGGATCTTCCTTATTCTAGGAAGATCCCATGCCCATGCCATTTCTTCCCCACCCATGGTCCACTATCACTTCTCTCTCTTTCTCTACCTTTTTCTATGGTTGTTTATGCTGTTTTTTCATATTCCAGTATTTGATGAACTCTCGTTCAGAATTTTTTTTTTAAATAGATTTTCTTTTTTTTTATTTTAAAGATTTTTTTTTTTTATTAAAAGATTTTATTTATTTATTTGACAGAGAGAGACAGCGAGAGAGGGAACACAAGCAGGGGGAGTGGGAGTGGGAGAGGGAGAAGCAGGCTTCCCGCGGAGCAGGGAGCCCGATGCGGGGCCCGATCCCAGGACCCTGGGACCATGACCAGAGCCAAAGGCAGACGCTTAATGACTGAGCCACCCAGGCGCCCCAAGGGAGAGATCCCAGAGAAAATGTGATAAAACAGCACTGCAGAGGCTGAGGGAGCCAGAGGTGTGGTGGGAGAAAAGCAGCAGAGGGACAGGGAGAAAAGGGGCAAAAGAGAATCAGCCTCACAAAACCAGTGTGGTGGGGCGGGGTGGTCCCCGGCAGAGCAGGAAGGGTCCGTGGGACACTGAGCAGCCTGCGCGTAGAGAATGATTCCTTAGAGCAGGAGTGGTACCGAGGAGCGGGGGGTGTGGACAGGAGACCTGGAGGAGCCACAGGTGCTAGAGGAACCTGAGAGCACAGAGGGCCAGTGCATTTGGAAGCAAGGGGATAGGGTTCTTACGAATCAGAAATGTTTCAGTAACGCAAGATGAATCATTGTTTTCAGTCTTTATGACACTTTCTGGGTTTTCAGTAATTTGAGCAACTTATTTTCTGTTAAAAAATATAATTGTAAAATATTGCCATTAGATACGTTTTATTTTAAGAATTGCAGTTGCTTTTCTCCTCAGAGGACCTGGATGACTCTTCATTTTCCTAGTATGTTTATCTTTTCCCTCAGAGAAATGGTGGGGGCATTGTGAGGATGATGGTCGTTGTCAGGGAAGAATAGAAAGCCTCCTGGCCCTGCAGTTGATTTGCTTACCTGAGTATAGTCCGCTGTCTGTTACAGCACAAGGACTTGAAATATCAGAAAGGAAAACCAGGCATGCCTCTTTCTGGTGATGGGGCTGTTTTGCCACAGTGTGGTGTTTACAGTTGAATAGCTATCATCCTGACCCCTTGCAATTAAAGTTGAGGTCAAGGGGCACCTGGCTGGCTCAGTCAGAAGAGCTAGCCGGACACTCTTGATCTTCTGAGTTGGAGTCCCACGTTGGGTGCAGAGATGACTTAAATAAAGAAAACTTAAAAAAAATAAAGTTGCTGGGGCGCCTGGGTGGCTCAGACGGTTAAGCGGCTGCCTTCGGCTCAGGTCATGATCCCAGGGTCCTGGGATCGAGCCCCGCATCGGGCTCCCTGCTCGGCGGAGAGCCTGCTTCTCCCTCTCCCTCCATCTGCCGCTCTGACTACTTGTGCTCTCTCTCTCTCTGTTAAATAAATAAAAATCTTAAAAAAAAAAAATGTTGCGGTCAAGGCAGGCACACCGATTATCTTTCTTTTAAACTTTATTATCACTAGAATTTAAGGTGTTACAAACATGGGTATTATAGATGATTCTGGCATAGATTTCACTTATGTGTATGTTAGTTTATTTTTTTCCCTGCCTGATGCTACAGAGAATTTAAGGTGTATTTCATTTTATTTTTTAAAGATTTTATTTATTTAGAGAGAGAGCAGGGGGAGGGGCAGAGAGAGGGAGACAGAATCCCAAACAGACTCCATGTAGAGCGCAGAGCCCAGTGTGGGGCTCCATCCCATGATCCTGAGATCATGACCTGAGGCAAGATCAAGAGTTGGACGCTTAACTGACTGCACCACCCAGGCGCCCCTTAAGGTGTATTTTAAAAAACATACCACAGGGGCACCTGGGTGGCTCCGTTGGTTAAGCATCTGCTTGGCTCTGGTCGTGATCCCAGGGCCCTGGGATTGAGGCTTGCATCGGGCTCCCTGCTTCTCCTTCTCCCTCTGCCTGCCACTCCCCTTGCTTGTGCGCATTCTCTCTCTCTGTCAGATAAATTAATGAATTAATGCATTAATTAATTTCCTAATGATATAAGCAGAGGGAAGCACAGTTTGTTCCTCACTTCATATCCACAGGATTAAAGCCTGTTATTTAAGAGAAGCATTGACATTGATTGATACCAGAAATATGGTCTTCGATTATTTATTTATTTTTTTGGTCTTCATTTTTAACTATTACCTGATTGCCCCCCCCCAAATTTTGCTTGATACAAAAATTTGGTAATGGGTTGGTTTTCTAATCCACAGATCTAAATTATACTAACCAATATAATGAATATGTAAAAATTTGTTGGCATTTATTTTAAATAGGAGAGATTTAAAGCTGTTCTCTATCGGACGTTGGAACGGAGCAACCGCGTTGATCATCGTCAAAAAAGATGGTCATGGGAAGGCTCTACATCCACGAACCCAGAAACCAAAACTGGTAATTAATACCACTGTTTAACCTCAAGTTCATTCATGTTCATATTTAGATATTGGCTATTGCTGCAAGGTTGCATTTACAACAAGGTTTTGAGCTTTGTATCTTAAGTGAAAATGCTGCCATGTGTGTGGTGTGCACAGTAAATTTATGTTTAAATTTGTGTCATGTAAAACTGCAAAAGAAATTTTATTATCATTTTATCCAGTATATCCAAAATCTCACCATTTAAATTTGTAATCTCTGTAAAAATGATTAAGCTTTATACAGCTTTATCCAATGCATATTTTAAAAATAGGTCTGCCCCATTTACTATTGAGGGTACTCTAAATTTTCCTATAAATGGACAGAATTCTACAGTTTCATAAAACTCAAATTTATATTATTTGTAAGGAATGACAGTGAACGTTGTGCACCTAATTAATGCTCATACTCCATAGAACTACATCATGAACGTACTTTGTTTCAGCTAATGATGCTTTCTTTAAGTATGAGTACAGTAAATATTATATCTTTTCTCAGCTAATACACGTTCTGTATCGACTGAAAAACTTGAACAAGAGACTTCTGGTTTACACAAACAAATGTCTGTGTCATCTGCAGGTCTTCAGAATTCTGTTGCTAAGAGTAAGTAGTTATTTCATGTATTCTGCTGAATTTTAAACCAATGAAATAAATTCTTTTTACATCTTTTCACAGTACCACTTATCCTTTAGATTGTGGAACATTTAGATTTATTTCAGAAGAGCACCACCTTGTTTTGTAGTAGATAGAGATGGTCATTACTATTTTGTTATTTTCATCGGTATTAATCCTTGTTTCATAATTTGCATATGAATCATCAGAGGGGTTTGTTGAGTTCAGGTAGCCCAAACTGAAACAAAAGACATTGCCATTACCTGGCACAATAACTTCTTATAAAAGTGATTCATAGTCTACCTAACCAGTAAATGAAATCCTTTTTCCTAGAGAGTAGCTAGCCTGGTCATTCAGTTTCCATTAAGTTTCACGAATATCACCTCATTTAAGGAAAATGTTAGCATATATACAGCAGTGGACAGGTTGATCTGCTTCACATATGTCATACTTGTTTATTCATGACAACCTTGTAAAGGTGACAGGCAAGTGTAATTACCTTCCTGGCTTTAGAGTTAAGACCTCAAGAAATTCAGTGCTCTTTACTCTGTCATGCTTGTTTATGGTTTATATTTTGGTCATTTGATAGATGGATCATGATGTTGAAATTGCACATTTCAATAATAAGCCTGTGTTTTCCTCCAAAGCAAATAAAGTGGTACCCATGTTTAATGAGCAAAGCATTGCTGACCTCCACTTTACGACTCTTAGTAGTGCTAATGTGGTGTTCCTTTTTTTTTTTTAAGATTTTATTTATTTGACAGGGAGAGACACAGTGAGAGAAGGAACACAAGCAGGGGGAGTGGGAGAGGGTGAAGCAGGCCCCCCACCGAGCAGGGAGCCCGATGTGGGGCTCGATCCCAGGACCCTGGGATCATGACCTGAGCTGAAGGCAGGCGCTTAACGACTGAGCCACCCAGGTGCCCCGCTAATGTGGTGTTCTTTAAAAGAAAAAGAGACTATCTACTATGACTACCTCATGCCTTTTGCTTCTGGTGTTTGCCCTTTTAATTAGTGTTCCTTTTTAAAAAAAATCCTTCACCTGACTGTCAGTGACCATTTCTGGCTTGTTGTGCATGGTGCATCCCACTGATAATTGAAATGAATTAGGCAACCATACCCATCAATGAATTAAAAAAAAAATCCTTTCCAGAGGCAAAAACAGAAGTGATCTTGGCAGGAAGAAGACACAGCAAACATATTCCACATTATTCCCACTTTAGTGCCTTGTGAATTGAAAACAAAAAGACATGTAATTACGGTTTGAATTTAAAAATCTTTTTTTAAAGATTTTATTTGAGAGCAAGCGGGAGGGTGATAGGGCACAAGTGGGGGGAGGGGCAAAGGGAGAGGGAGAAGCAGACTCCCCACTGAGCAGGGAGCCCCCCCATCTGGGGTTATCACATTTTTCTTTTAGTGGTCTAACAGAAGTTGATCCACTTACCACCCTAACCCTCGATAGGCTTTCCCAGAGCACTTATGTGTAGCCTGGATTCATTTGTAGGTTAATGTGGGAAGGTTTTCTCTAGCACCTTCCTTGTCATATAATGAAATTAATTTATTGTTCACCAGTTCAATCCTTTAGAAAAATTAGATAGCATTCATTGTAATGTTGTATTTATATACTTTCATTTTATATATGTATATACATTCATTTTGATATATATTATTTGTTTCACAAGCATTCACTCTGTTTCACTATCTTAATTGCTTTGAGGAGTTAGCAAATATTTCTTCCACAGATGTGTATGACGTTTTTAATATAATGAGCAAATGCTAGTATGCTTTTATTAATAGGCCTCATGCTGTATTAATGAGACTTGTAAAGAGGAGGAACAGGTGATTACTTTTAGGATAATAATTAGTTAAATTACACTGAAAGAGCAATTCCAAGTAACTTTTTAAATGATTTTTTTACTAGTTTTTAATACGAGAAGGTATGTGTGGAAGATACTTTGTGAAATAACCTACAGGTACAGTATATTGCACACTCTGAAACAGTGAATGTTGTAATTAATGATGTCAGGGAAAATAAAATCCGTATTGGTGGTGGCTTACCTTTGTAAAATCTCTGCCAATTGAAATGAAACCTGTTTGATCCAGAGAGATGAACATTTCACACTCAAATGAAGTTCATAGTCTAATAACCTGTAATATTTTAAGTAGCCCTGTTTTAAAGCTTGGCTTATTCAAATTGTCTATTTTTCTTCTGCTCATTGCTGACTCATAATAACAGTTCACACTATCTAGTCATTACGTGCAGTATGAAAATAAAGGATGTGTGATTTAATCACATGATTGAAATGATTATACCTCTGGTTCATGCTGTTCAATTACATTGTCAATTCAGGAATTTTCAAATGGTGCTATGTTGTCAATATGTACAGGTCCCCAATTTAATTTACAGGTTCCCAAAAGAGAAGTTATTCTTTAAGTAGACACTCCTCAGTATCCTGGGCCAGAGTATTTCAAGTGAAGTGGCAAAGTGTCTACACAAACCGTGTTTTTCATTAGTTTGCTAAAATTGTGCCATCTGTGCCAAAAGTTAATGATCATTTTTGTTTAAAATAATAACCATTATAACTAAAGTATACGTTACTTTAGTAATAGATGTCATGGATTGTGTCCAAAATTAAAGGTTGTATATTCCCAATTTGGGAATGTTGATCTTGTCAGGTAGTATTAGACATTGTCCTCTTAATTTTTAACTGTTTTTTTTCCTAATTAATTTTATTTTCCAGATAAAGAGTAAACTAGTTTTAAGTTTGGGGATGTAGAATCTACATAAGATTTGAAATTTAAATTTTTACAATCAAGAGTAGAGAAGATAAAAAATGTTTGAAAAGAGGAGTGACTCACTCCTGAAATAATATATTTAAATAATTTGTTAAAAAAATAATATTCCTTTGCCTTTGATCTCCAGAAAAAATAGAAAAGAAGAGAAGCTCATCCTTGAATAGAAGATCTAACAAACTGCAGACACCTGCAGACAGTGTACAAGTAGAAGAAAAACCAACTGGTTAGTTATTTCTAAGTACCAGTCTTAAATAGTGGTTTAAAAGAGATCTGTTGGGGTGCCTGTGTAGCTCAGTCAGTTGAGCTCCGACTCCTGATTTCAGCTCAGGTCATGATCTCGGCTGGGAGATAGAGTCCCGAGTTGGGCTCCATGCTGAGCTTGGAGCTTGCTTAAGATTTTCTCTCCCTGCACCTCCCTACCCCCGTGTTTTCTGTCTTTCTCTCTCAGAAAAAAAGGATCTATGTCAACATTGGTTGCTTGAGAAGTCGTTCCTAAAATTCGAAGCCAGAATATCCCTTCTTTAACTAAAAAATGTCCTTTGATGCCATACTTACTTGGCTGAAGCGAAGAGTCTGTCCTTAAATGAAATACGTAATTCTGCTGTCATCTGAGCAAGAAGTCTGTAATGAAGCTGAGGGACTAGATCCCAGAGTGTTGGTATAGATAAAGATTTGTGCTGGAGGACTTGATTCTCTTCAAACATTTCATCAGTTAGTGTTTAGAAGGTCTTAAGTTATTGACCATAATTTGAACTTCAGAGCTTTGCTGTGTTGCTTCATAGCATTACCCACATCTAACCTTTGTGCATGTTTTCACTGCTGATTATTATACACAAAATTTCATACTTATTACTGAAGTACTTTTTCTTTTTTTAAAGATTTTATTTATTTATTTGAGAGAGTGCACATGAGCAGGGGTGGAGGGGCAGAGGGAGAGGGAGAAGCAGACGCCCTGCTGATCAGGTAGCCCGACACGGGGCTCGATTCCAGGATTCTGAGATCATGACCTGAGCCGAAGGCAGATGCTTAACCGACTGAGCCACCCAGGTGCCCCTTGAAGTACTTCTTTATTTAAAGAAGTTTCTTTCTAACACCTTCCCCCCACAACTTTTCTCTGTCAAACAGGACTGTTGCTTTTTGTTTTATACCAAACCATTCACTTACAGAATACTTTCCAGTTTGTTGAGTCAGGTCAGATCCTATTATAACAAATGCCATTGTCACAGGGATCGTTAGGAACATAAAAACTTTTGGAGCAAGGTATTTACAAGATGCACTTTTAACAAAAGAATTCAGTCAGTCCCTTGGAGCTTTTGGTAATGAACTTGACCACTTTGACTGTCAGTGGCATATCTGTAGAAATCCACGCCAAAGTTGTTTCGTCACATACAACTTCTTTCTCCATATGTGAATTCCTCTGTAGAGACTATACATTGGATAGGACTTCGTCAGATATGTTACCTAGATTTCTTCACTGGGGTTATTGTGTATGCCAGGGTCTTTGACCCTTACTTCAGGTGCTCTCTTCCCTAGCAAGGCAGTCTGATCCAGTGGCGGTGTTCAGTCACATTATATATATATATATTATATATATATATATATGTTGCTTTCGTAGCTTCTACTTTTAGGCTGGGGAAATTTTCATTTGCAGCAGTTCACATTGCTTTTTCTTGCTTTGCATTTATTTGTGAGACCTCAACTTGAATCTTTTTTGTTTGTTCTCATTTAGCTCGACACTCGTGTACCAGTCTTCGGGAGAATGATTTAATCACTCGCCTACTTGTCCCTACAAAAGCATCAATAGCCAGGAGCAAAAGTGCTGCTTCCTTGTCAGTCCCTGGGAAAGATACTCCAGGTAACAGGCACAAGGCAGAAAGCCTGAAAGTGTTAGTATTTGCACTGAAAAAGCAGGTTATGTCATTTGATTTGTTGCAGTAAGGCATAAAAATAATTTGAAGCAGTAGTTTCCAGATGACTGATTATACCCAACATTTTATGTTGCATATTTATTTTATGCCTTCTAGCGTGGTAGATTAGTTATCTGGGTGATAGTTAATTGCTAGGATGAGATAAGGTAGTTGTGTGGTGGTTGTTAAATTTTTAAATGATTTTTTGAAAGACTTTTTTTAAGATTTTATTTATTTATTTGAGAGAGAGCACAAGCAGGGGGAGTGGCAGAGGGAGAGGGAGAAGCAGGCTCCCCGTGGAGCAGGGAGCCCCACGCGGGACTTGATCCCAGGACCCTGAGATCATCACCTGAGCTGAAACCAAGAGTTGGATGCTCAACCGACTGAGCCATCCATGTGCCTCAGCCCTAAATGTTTATTTTATTTTTTTTTAAAGATTTTATTTATTTATTTGAGAGAGAGAGAGAGAATGAGAGATAGAAAGCACGAGAGGGAAGAGGGTCAGAGGGAGAGGCTGACTCCCCGCTGAGCAGGAAGCCCGATGCGGGACTCGATCCCGGGACTCCAGGATCATGACCTGAGCCGAAGGCAGTCGCTTAACCAACTGAGCCACCCAGGCACCCTCAGCCCTAAATGTTTAAAGATCTATGGGTTTCTTGACCTGTGCTTCAGTGTGCCATCCAGTAAAAGGTACTGGATGTTAAGAGTATCAAAAATTTTTATAATATCAAGGGAGAAAGTTTCCTACTCCACCCTTTTTTTCCCTAAAATGCGGAAGAATGACATTGAGCTGCTCTTCAGCTTTTTATTAATAGCTAGTAAAATAAAACCCATCTTCAGGCTTATGTGGATTTTCTCACTTAGAGATCACATAGAGTGTTAGACATGCCTGTGGGTAGTAAGAAGTCCTCAGTAGTGGAGAGCTCAAATGCCCCATTCCCATCATTCTTTGTCTTTTTTCTTCCACTTTTTTCTTTCCAGAATTTATCCCACCACCTTTATTCTTTTATTTTTTCTTCTGTTAATATTCATATGATTAGTAAAATAAATTACAGTGCTATATCATAGACTTTCTGGTAGTGCAGCTTTACTTGTTTTGGTTCAGATTCCTGACTTTGTTTTTGCCCTGTTATATGTATGTCAGATTATTTTCTGCCAGTCTTTCCCCGGTCTCCTGTAAGATATTTCTTTTTTTTTTTTTTTTAAAGATTTTATTTATTTGAGAGAGAGAATGAGAGAGAGCATGAGAGGGGGTTGGGTCAGAGGGAGAAGCAGACTCCCTGCTGAGCAGGGAGCCCAATGCGGGACTCGATCCCAGGACTCCAGGATCATGACCTGAGCCGAAGGCAGTCGCTTAACCAACTGAGCCACCCAGGCGCCCACCTGTAAGATATTTCTTGTATTAACTTTCATTCTTGTTTAATAATCTGTTACTTCCATCTAAAATGTAATATTTTATCTTAAATTTCTATACCTATACTTAATATGTTTTTTGTAGCACAGATTGTCAGTGTTAAATAATGTGACTGTTTAGGTACATACAGATATGTAAATAAAATACATTTTCCACCAAAAGTGGGGGGGACTAAAAAATAACGTTTAAGTCAGTCAGATTGTTTATTCATGAGTAGTCAGTCTTTGGTAATTTGTTCTATTTTGATTATTTGATGAGATCATGTAAAAGTTTACCACCCAGATTTAAAGAGGAGGTGACAAATTTACCAAGTCTTAAAAAAGCTACCACCAAATACTTTAAAAAATACTTACTTTTCTTTATTATGCAAGCAATAAATATTTAGTGTAGAAAAAATTTTAAATGTAATTTATTATTATCCCAGTAACTCACTGGTAACTGAATATTTTGTTTATATGTTTTCTTCACAAAATGGGATTGTAACCTGTTTTTGTTTTTTTGATCTGCTTTTGTCTAAATATATACCATTTTTCTGGGGGCGCCTGGGTGGCTCAGTTGGTTAAGCGTCTGCCTTCGGCTCAGGTCATGATCTCTGGGTCCTGGGATCCAGCCCCGCATCGGGCTCCCCGCTCAGCAGGGAGTCTCCTTGTCCCTCTCCTTCTGCCCCTCCCCCGTGTGTGCAGGCACTCTCTCAAATCTTTTAAAACCATTTTCTATGTCTAGAAATTGTGTATTATTACTGTGAATGACTGCCTTAGTATTTTCTAAATTTCCTGTTGAATATTTGGATTATAGTTTTGCTTCAGTATCATCAATAATGCTATAAGTAACCTTATTACATATGTTTTCATGTCTGATTTTTTCCTAAGAATAGATCTGGAAGTAAAATTGTGGGAACAAAGAATATGTCCTTTTAATGGCTTTTGATGCCTTATTGCCCCAATCCCTCCTACCAGGAGCATATACAGATCCACACCCCACCAGCAGTGTGGGGCTGCCTGGTTCCCAACATTGGTACTATCACTTTCTTTCCTCCTCTGCTGGTACTAAGTATTACCTTTTTTATCCATTTATTAGGCAAAAAATATTTAGATTGTTAAAGATGGAAGAGACCTTGAAAATCTAGCCCATTCTGATTAATGTCTCATTATAGTTTTTAGTATGGGTGAGAAAGTGCTCTTTTTTTTTTTTTAACATTAAAATAGCCATATATGGAGTTTCTTACATAATCACTTGAAATGGTAAGATCTCTGGCCCTGGTGAAGTTGTTCTAGATTACTTTTTAAAAGTATTGAATATCTTGTGTTATGAAAATCATTCAAAACCATAGTATGATTAAAAGAGAACTGGCTTATTGCAAACATCAACTTTGGAGAAGCATCCTCTTTTCATCTGTAGTGGATTGTTGCTTTCACAACACCTCTTAATGGTGGCGCTTCTGAAGTAACCGACTTCGAGATGCTTCTGTCCCTTGTCTGGGTTCCTTTTCACTAAACGCCTCTGTGCTGTGGGTAATTCCTGCAACTTACTAATGAACATAGTCTCTCTTTTTTCTCTTCCTGTTCTTATACTGTTACGTGGTGCATTTCTGTCTTGTCCAGTTTCTGCATGTATGCAATTTCATTCTGTCCTCATTCACCCACAGGCACCCACAGTACTTTAATCCAGTATATAAACATGCCCTTGCGTAGCCATAGCAGTGACGAATTGAAGAATACCACAGTGCTTCGCAAGGCAGCAGTGGCAGGGCCTCCCCAGGAGAAGGTGGAAGTGGCCCCCCATGTGAGTGTGGAAGCGGCCCCCGCGGCGAGCGTGGAAGTGGCCCCCGAGGCGAGAGTGGAAGCGACCCCCGAGGTGAATGTGGAAGCCACCCCCAAGGTGAGCACAGAAGGGTCCTCTGAGGGGAGCATGGAAGCATCATGTGAAGCAGGTATGGAAGCACTCCCTGAGAGCATGGAAATATCATCTGAAGTGAGCGTGGACGTGTCGTCCCCCGAGGCGAGCGCGGACCCGTCGTCTCCCGAGGCGAGCGCGGACCTGTCGTCTCCCGAGGCGAGCGTGGACCCGTCCCCCGAGGTGAGCGCGGACCCATCCCCTGAGGTGAGCCTGGACTCGTCTCCTGAGGTGAGCATGGATGCATCCCCCGATGTGAGCATGCGAGTGTCATCTGAGGCCAGTGTGGAAGCCAGCGTGGAAGCGGCTCCCAAGGCTAGTGTGGGCCTGTCACCTGAGACCACGGTGGGAGCATCGCCTGAGGCCAGTGTGAAAGCACTCCCCAAAGAGGGTGTGGAAGCGTCCCCCGAGGCATTCCCCGAGGTGGGCACGGAAACATCTTCCCAGGTGAAAGTGAACGACTCTCCACAGGTTTGTCAAGTGCCCTTTATTAACAAATTTTAATTTGTTTAATTTTCTATTAATATCTGTATATTTAGTTGTGTAGGTCATGATAGGTCAGGTTTCACAACATAAGCAACTTGTTAATATTTATAGCATTCTGTCATAAAATTAGTAAAATAGGATAACTTAACTTCATTTAAAATTCTGTGATATTTGTTGTATAGTTTCCCCTCAAAGCTGGAATATTAGGTCATTTTTAGTAGCAGGGAGTAACTGTTATTTGAACTGTTTGTAAACTGTGAAGAAAAGTTTTTTTTTTTTTTTTAAAGATTTTATTTATTTATTTGAGAGAGAGAATGAGGTAGAGAGCACGAGAGGGGAAAGGGCCAGAGGGAGAAGCAGACTCCCCGCCGAGCAGGGAGCCCGATGTGGGACTCGATCCCGGGACTCCAGGATCATGACCCGAGCCGAAGGCAGTCGCCCAACCAACTGAGCCACCCAGGCGCCCCAAGAAAAGTTTTTTTGAGAAATATTGCAAACCTCTTAATCAGGATTTAGAAATAGAATTAGGTTTTGAAGTGAAAGATGTTTTACGATAATTATTTCTGTGACCTTGAATTTTGTAATCTGAATAGTTAGTCGAGAAGAATATATCTGTACCTAATTCTCATGCTTGAAAAGAAAATGGGGAGTTTAAGGAGCTCTAATTGTATTATATTCAGGGTATTTTTGTCTAAAAGCCAGCTGTAGTAAAGTAAATGCTCATTTCTTAATCTGATGATCTTGCTCTGCTCAGAAATCAGAGCTGGACAAACAGGCCTCAAAGCCCGCTACCAAGAAGCGCCCGGTGTCGCACATACCCTGTTACAAATGGCCGTCTTCTTCTGTGAGTGGGCGGCGCCCGCCTTCCCCCGTCACTGTTAAGTAAGTGGCTTTTTTGCACCTGTTCCTCATAGGTATTTTACCAGGATAAATTTTACATCAGTGTTTCACAACTGAAATAATGTAGTATACATCACAATGTAAATATAAAGAGGAAAAAACCTTTAAAAATGGATTTACCCCATCCTAAAATAGTATCTCATAATATCAAGACATGATATTTAATGAAATGGCACATTATAAACTTAATTAGCACATACCTATTACAAAACCATATCAGGTTTCCCCCATTAACGGTTACTTTTTCCCAGCAGGCAAATGCAAAAGAATCGTCCCCCATCACCGTCACCTGTCATGTCAAAACAGTCACAGTCTCCTCTTTCCTATAAAATAATCCCTGTTCAGCGTAGCCTGTTGGCACAAAATGCATTAGGTACTTTTGGAAAGAAAAGAGAAGGAGTGCCTAAAGCTGCTAACAGCTCTGAGGCTGTGAGCCAAAAGCAGCTGGTCTGTGAAGGTAAGCTCCTTTACTAAGTTTATTTTGGCAACAGGGAAAATCTTAAGGTAGTTTGGGAATGGTCGACTTTGTTTTATTCCCCAATTCTGAGGACGTTAGGGAGCGAGCCTTCTTTTGATAAAGAGAATTTAACCAGTCATTGGCACACTGTTTACTTTTCCTTGCCAGAGCTTCTTACCCCCACCCCCTTGTTGTTTTGGGAAATCCATTTTTGGAACTGATGTTAAAAGTACTGGTTGGGGGGCACCTGGGTGGCACAGTCAGTTAAGCATCTGACTCTTGGTTTGGGCTCTGGTCGTGATCTCAGGGTCGTGAGATTGAGCCCCGTGTCAGGCTCTGTGCTCGGCATGGAGTTTGCTTGGGATTCTCTCTTTTCCCCTGCCCCCTCCCCTCAAATAAATAACCTTAAAAAACAAAAAAGTACTGGTTGGATGAGCTCATTGCTCTAGGTTATCCCTGGGGTCCCTTCCAGCTCTGATAGTGGATGGTTCCGTGAATGGCCCTAAGGTGCTGTCCATACTTGGAGAGAGCACATCTGGTCATTTGTGGCTGAGCAGGTGTCCATTGAGAGCTGACGGTCATTTCCATACAAAGGCCATAACGTTTTTTCTTTTATTTTTCTTTTAAAGATTTTATTTATTTATTTGAGAGAGAATGAGAACTAGAGAAAGAGAGAGCACACACACACAGAGAGAAGGGGAGAGAGAAGCAGGCTCCCCGCCGAGCAGGGAGCCCGATGCGGGGCTTGATCCTAGGACCCCGGGATCATGACCTGAGCCAAAGGCAGATGCCCAACCAACTGAGTCACCCAGGTGCCCCAAGGCCATAACATTTTATTTTTATTTTTATTTTTTTTATTTTTTTTTTTTTTAAGATTTTATTTATTTATTTGACAGAGAGAGAGAGACAGTAAGAGAGGGAACACAAGCAGGGGGAGCGGGAGAGGGAGAAGCAGGCTTCCCTCCAAGCAGGGAGCCCCATGTGGGGCTCGATCCCAGGACCCTGGGATCATGACCTGAGCCGAAGGCAGACGCTTAACCGACTGAGCCACCCAGGCGCCCCAAGGCCATAACATTTTAAATACACTAATAAATTTTTCTTTTTGAAGGATTTTCACAGTGATTTTTTTAATCACAGGAATAATCTTTTTATTATAAATTATTCATTCCTGATGTCTTAAGATCCTTGTCATATGTGGTTTATCTAAAATAGTCATCATTTGGACTGAAATAATTACAGTCTGCCTCCATGTGGTCACCTTATTTTACTGAATGTCTTAGTTTCTTTGGTTATGTAGTTAGCCACTATATGATCAATCAGATACAATATACTGTTACCAGTGTTCATCTAAATAGTAATTATTTAGTAAAAATTATGCACAAATTTCAAAACGCATGCTGGATATTTTGTTTAGTCAGGTATTTGTATACTTTCATATAGACTTTGTATACTTTATGTACTTCATATAGACTTTCTCTACTTCATAAGTTTGTCTTCCTCTATATTCAGTGTATCTTAATCCTTTTCCCCATAAGGTCAGTTTAGTCAGATATCTCTCAAAACGGCTAAGCCAGAGTGGGAGTACATTATTTCATTTTGGAGCAAGTAGTTGTTAAAAAGAGACAAACTACTAATTCTGTTATTGGGAGTGGGGTTGGGGTTTTGAACCAGACCTGTTACTTCTAGATTGCTAGTTATTTATAAATTATAGACCGTGTGCATATTGTTTGGGTTTTTAATGTTTTGGTTGTCTTGCATCTCTTTATTGGACTCAAGGGTGTTAAGTTCCCTAAGCTAACTGTTCTATGTGTTAATTTCTACTAGAGTCTTGTAATAAAAGTACACCAGGGACTATGAATGCCAAGGAAGCAACAAAAATTTTGGCAGAAAAACGACGGCTTGCTCGTGAACGAAGAGATAAAGAAGAAAGAATACAAAAGGAAAGGGGGCAAAGGTCAGCACAAACCCACTCTTCCTATACACTCAGTCTTGCCTGGGGCCCAGATTTTGAAAGTCAAAATGTACCTTCAGGTTAGATGTACTATAGATAATCAAAGAGTAACTGACTTTTTCTTCAGTGTGAATCAGAAATGACTTGTTGCCTTCGAAACAAATGTGGGGACCATCTCCAGCAGAGAGGACGCTGGTCTGTAGAGAGAGGGTGTAGTCGTCTGTGGTAGCCATGCATTGTGCGAAAAGATGCATAAGGAGGCCAGCACTTGGGTCAGGGCCCCATATCTCAGCAGGCACACCCGAGTGATCGTGCCAGGCTCTTTCTGTTGGCATTCACTGGGGTCAGCCCCTTTCTTTGTTTCAGAAGTCTTTTGTAACTTCAGAATTTGTAAACCTGGAAAGTGTACTTCCTCATGGTTTGCTAGGGGTGCTTTCCAGTGACTTCTGTGACACCTCAGCCTCATCAGTCCTTGCCAGAAGGCTTGCCTGTGGGCAGCAAACCTCATGTACACTTGGGTTCATTCTAACTCCATCTCAAGGTTTCTTGACCCTCAGTCTTGAAGCTCACTTGATTTAGAGCTCTGGAATATAAACTTCTGTTCACTTCCTGCACCGAATAACTACAGGCCCGAGTTTGTTTTGAAGTATTAAGTGTTTGAAATGCAGTCACATGCTTTCAGTACACTTTATATGGGTTTGGAAGAAAGAAGGGGATGTTGTGAATAGCAAAAATAACATGTTAACTTGAAGAACATCATTCATTGCTTCGTGTAAACAGCTCATTTAACATTTTAAAAGCCCTGCATACTGGTCACTGTGGATGGGCTTCCCTCTGGGCACCACCGGACCCTCCTTTAAATTATCATGTGTGAGATTGGGTGTGAACATGTGTATAATGAGGCCTTTTGGGGGCCCCATGTGTTTAACAGTTAAGGAGTGCCATTTTTTCCTCTCTTTTGAAAATGCAGAGTAGCCCACTAATTGATAAAAATCCTTTTCTACTACCAAGAGCTAGTTTCCCGCGTTTAAAAAGGGTAACATTGGGGTGCCTAGGTGGCTCAGTCGGTTGAGCGTCTTGACTCTTGGTTTCAGCTTGGGTCATGATCTCAGGGTCATGGGATCAGGCCCTGCATCAAGCCCCAAGTTGAGCCCTGCTTCAGGCTCAGCGGGGAGTCTGCTTCTTTCCCTCTCCCTCTGCCTCCCACTTGCACAGGTGCATGTGCACTCTAAAATAAATCTTTTGAGATTTTATTTGAGAGGGGAGAGTTAGCACGAGAGGAGAGAGGGTCAGAGGGAGAAGCAGACTCTCCGCTGAGCAGGGAGCCCAATGTGGGGCTCGACCCCGGGACTCCCAGATCATGACCTGGGCCAAAGGCAGACGCTTAACCAACTGAGCCACCCAGGTGCCCCTAAATAAATAAAATCTTAAAAATATAAAAAGGTGAAATTGTGTAAATTCTGTGCAGTAACATAGAAAATGTCAAGTGAGTCTGGTGTAAGTATAAGTTGTGTTCCTGTATATAAGCAGTTTCACTATAAAAATGCACGTACAGGGGCACCTGGGTGGCTCAGTTGGTTAAGCATCTGACTCTTGGTTTCAGCTCAGGTCAGATCTCAGCCTCGCATTGGGCTTCGTGCTGAGCATGGAGCCTGCTTGAGATTCTCTCTCTCTCCTCCTCCCTCTGTCCCTCCCTCCACTCATGTGCGCACGTGTGCGGTGCACTCTTTCTCTCTCTCTAAAATAAGTGAATCTCGCTTTCTCGCTCTCAGATAAATAAAAATCTTTAAAAAAAAAAATGCATGTACGGGGCACCTGGCTGCCTCAGTTGGTGGAGCACGCGATTCTTGATCTTGGGGTCGGGAATTCGAGCCCCATGTTAGACGGAGAGATGACTTAAAAAAATGCACGTACTGCTGCAAGCTGTATATGGTAGAGACTGAGACAAATACTAAGAGCTGTTTAAATGTGCTGTGTCATTAGCAAAGTGAAGGACGTAGCAGAGAAAGCTGTGGAAGGCCAACAAGAAGAATTTTTGAAACTGGAAGAAGGGCAACAACAGAAGGAAATAAAGAAAGGATGTCCAGATCCAGAAGACCAGCAAGTGCTACTACAGGTTTGCTGGCTCTCTACTTTATCAGGGGTTGAGAACCAGATTCTAAAATTCATTTGAAACCCAAGGCAAAAATCTGTTTCTCCAAGAAAGATGGTGAACAGATGCAGCCTTCTCTGGCTGCAGTTTTCCATTATAGTCTAGCTGCTACCTAGTGCTGCTGCAGGTCATGGCCAGCCACCCTTGGCAAAATCCTAGAATATTTTCCAAGTGAAACAGAAGCAGAAAGCTGAGAATTATAAATTAGTAGTTTTTTATTTTGTCTACATAAACAACATTGCAGCTTGGTTTCAGGAAGTCACATTGCTCACACAGATTAAATGTCCTGTGTGAGTTTTCCCAGTCCTGCGCTCTTTGGTGATGCTCACAGCTGCAGCCCACATACCCCCTGGACAGGGACGATAAAAATTACAAATGCCTCTAAAAGTTTAAGTCCTCCAGTTCCTCAGTAAGACTGTCTCACCCATGCACATTCAGATCATCTGGTAAATAAATCCACAAACTGAGCTCAGACTCCACTCAGCTTGAATCACTAACACAGCCTACTTAATATTCCAGTTTTAGTGTATCACTTAATAAAATCAGTTGTATGTCGCATAAATGGTTGTGTGCATTTGCATTCCTCAGGAAGCTACCTTTAAGGATCCTCTCAGTGCTTTTGAAAGGTGTAAGACTTTTGGCCCCTGTTGCTGTGTTAATGGATAGCTACATAATCCCTGACTTTGGAACTGTAGTGGCCTGATAACCCCTGTGCTGGAATGGTGACCCTGAGGTCCTGGAGGGGACTGGCATGGCTTCTAAATCCTCAAGACGATGGTTAGCCTGGTTTTGTGCATTTTTAGCTAATGCTTTGAAAACTGAGAATTTACAAATGTCGTGTGTATAGGTACTGTCAATCAGAAGGTTACATTCTTTTATGTTGGATAACCTTTATTTAACTTTTTCAGCTGTTGTTCTCAGTTATCACTCATATATTGACAGTAAGTGGTATTTTTATGCAAATTTTCTAGAAAGGGGCCGCCAAAATAAAAGCTCAGGAGGAGGCTGACAAACGCAAGAAGGAACAGGAGAGAATTATGTTACAGAATTTGCAGGAGAGATTAGAGAGAAAAAAGGTACTCTTTCTGTTTTGGGAGTTTGGTTCGTTTCGAATATAATGTTGGGCACATGATTTTAAAACGTGTTCTTCAAAGTCACAAGTAAGTGGTATGCTAGCCTCTGGGGGTTTTCCCACTTGGAAGGATCTCACCCTTCCTACGTAGAAGGGTCTCTCCTCTTATTGACCTCACCTGTCCATCACGGACCACTGGTGACCAGTACTGTGACGCCTCAATATCACAAACCCCTGGGAACAAAGCTCCTTTGAACAGAATCACTCCGGTCATGGGAGTGGTTGGTAGAAGTTAGTTTCTTCTGGACTGGGCTGGAAACTGCAGCAACTGAGTGGGAGGGAGCAGCAGGTGCAGGCTTCTCTCAAAGGCCGAGGTGCAGGCCGTTTGTAAGGTGGGACCTCACTTTGTGCAACTCATTTGGCTCGTCTGGGGTCAGAGGAGGCCCTAGTCCAGGCTGCAGGGCCTCTCTGTTGGGAGATAAGTCACCCTGAGGAGGCCAGGTGTGCGCCAAGGAGAAAATTCTTTCCCTCCTGTGTGTGTGCGCTCTTTGCAGCCACAGACTTCTGACAATGTCGCATCACTGGGGTGCATTCTTTTCATTAATATCTGCTTCAGTCATGGTCTGTTCAGACTAAAACGTTAAAAAGTCTTAACTGGTTTGCAATAGTATGTTCTTTTAAGTCATGAATTTCTAAGTCTACAAAATTAGGAGTGAAAGGTAATTGGATTTCGGGGTTAAGGTGGCTAGGGTAGCTGCTACCCCTCCAGGTGTTTTCTGGATGACTGACCCTGGGATTGGGAGGACCGCGGCAGCCGCCCTGAGGTCTCAAGGTGGTGAAATCGGTGGCTTGGGAGCAGTTCTGATGCATCTGCTTGTGGAAAATGGAAGTAATCAACTTCTTCGGGACCGCTGGTTTTGTTTTTTTTTTTCATCTGTATTCATGTTTGAATTTTTATTTTCCTTTAAATAGAGAATTGAGGAAATTATGAAGCGGACGAGAAAGACAGATTCAAATGCCTCAAAGGTAGTCTGTGTGTCCCCACCAGCAGTGCGTAAGAAATCCTGTCGCTTCACCTTCTTGCCGACTTTGCCATTTTTGCCAGTCTGGTGGTAACTCAAGCATCTCGCTTGCATGTCCCTGATTATGAAAGAGGTGGAGCACATTCTATCCTTAATTAGCTGTCCTGTTTTTTTCTTGTGGGAGACGCTTGTTCGGGTCTGTGGCCAAAGCCTTTGGGTTGATACTTTCTCTCACTCCCTCGTGGTTCTTCAGCTGTTCCGGACGCTACCACTTCCTTGCTTGTGTGTGCTGCATCTGTCTTCTGCCAGCTCGCGGCCTGTCTTAACGCGCGGTCTGCTGTCGCACAGTTCTTCATTTGCACACTACCGAGTTGATCAGTAGTTTTTGATGATTAATGAACTCAAGTGCCTTTTCATCTGCTTTTTGGCCATTTGGAGATCTGCTTTGGTGAAGTGCCTTGTCAAGCCCTTCGTCCATGTTTCTGTTTGGTGGCTGGCCTCCTTCTTACTGATGGGTAGTTTTTACCTCCTCTGCTTACGGGCCCTGTACGTGCGTAATGGTGTTGCTGTAGTTTGCCTCATACTCTCATTATAATGCCTTGTGATGAACAGAAGTTCATTTTCATGAAATCAAATTGAGCAGTTTTTTTCCTTTATGGTAAGTGCTTTTTGGGGTCGATCTCACAAGTATTTGCTTACCCCAGCATCCTGTCTTTTGAGGCATCGCATGCCTCTAAGGCCTTTTCCCTCCAAATTCTGTGCCCTTTACCCTTTGTGCTACCAGACTGGTATTTTAGCTCTTTTCAGTTCCCCAGTGTGGTCATTCATATCATGACAATTTAGAATTACAAATGTCATTTCTGGAAAATGCAGCGAGTCACCATCTGAAAGATCATTTAGCCTGCTGGCCTGACGAGTTTCCCCTCAAGAGGCAGCCAAGAATTTTTTTTTTTCAGCCGTTCCATCAGTTGGCCCTATGTTGGCTTAGTTCGGACTCTGAGCAGGCAGAGGGCCCATGCCAACCGTGGCTCCCACTCGGGGAAGTCTTTCATTCTTGAGTGTCTTTCCCTAACTGAAAGACGCAGCCAGGGCCACCTGTTCTGTCCCCTGTAGTCTTGGGGCCCAAGGGGTTAGATTTTTTTACCTTTTAATTGAAATGATGAAAAATAGCCATGAATCCAGCATGAAACCTGTTCTCTTTGAAATAGCCGAGTCCGGCTGATGGACTGTTAGATGTAGTCATGACCTCCTTTCCTGCCCTAGGCTGCAGAACCGGTTGTTGATAACACGGACGAGGAGGGCGAGGCGGACGAAAGTGACAGCGGTTCCTTTGATGACCTGCATCCATCAGGTTGGCTTGCCTTTGGAGCTCTGTTAGTCACCATGTGGGAGTTGGACTGTCTGGGTTCATCTAGGGGCTCCTCTGCTTCTGAGCTGTGTGGCTTTGGGCAACGTACTGAACCTCTCTGTACTCAGTTTTCCTACCTGAAAAAGGGGAAGCGAATGTGGTCCTCCTAGGGTAGCACGAGATTGCAGTGGGCTGATCCATGTCGTGCTAAGAACAGTACCTGACGCATAGACAACTCTCGGGAAAGCCCGCCGTGGTGGCGACCGTTACTCTTGTACAGCTTGTGCTGTTAGGCTGTAGGTAGTAGCTCTTACCCGGATGTGAGGCCTACGAGCACGTCCTGGCTCCCGGCCTTGTACGGCACTCATGACCGACCACAGGCGGACTGCCGCTTCCCACCTCCCTGAGAGAACCGTCACAGCTGTCCGAAATGCCTGGCCGAGTCCCCCCTGGGTAGGAACCGCTCTATGGCAGCAGTACGAGGCACTCTTTACCCCACAAACGGAAACGAACATGCAAGCCAGGCCCTCTACTGGGGCAGCAAGGGTACAGAGGGGAGGGGACCTCTCCTCGAGGGAGCCCGTGGCGAAACGGAGGAGCACACAGTGACATCACAGTGGCCGCCGGCTGGTTGGCCCAGACGCGGCGAGAACAGAGCAGGCGGAGCAGGGCCAGGTGCAGGCAGGACGCAGCAACTAGAATCAAGGCTAAAAGAGAAGAGGCGGGAGGAGGGGGAAGCAGCCCGCTGCCCGCTGCCGTCTGGCTACCGCTCTTGCCTGGCAGAGGAAGGAGGGCAGGTTCCTCAGAGGTGGCCCCTTTGTGCTTTGAGGCCGGAGCAGGCCCGTGCGCTGGGCAGCACCCTGCACCCCAACCATCCCGCTGCACGGCCCTCCCTGCCTGTGGGCGGCCGCTGTGCCCTGGCCCACCACCATCCCAGCCTTCGCCTCTGTTGCCTTCGTTGTCAAAACTCCCGTTTTAATCTTCTTCCTTTTGTTTTCCAAGCCTTTATAAATGGCATGGATTCATCCACAAAACTCAAAACACATTTTAAAAACATGAAGAAGAACACTCCCAAGCTGGTGTTTTTAGACGCCACTTCTGGCCAAGTCCATAGAGAGACAAAAACATTTTTTAATGGCGACATGAAAAACTTCAGACAAAAAAGTGCGAAAGACCCTTTGGCTCAGGCAAAGGGTACCAGGTGAGTCACCCAGCAAGTTTATCAGAATAAACTTGGTGGGAGTCATATACGAGATTATTGACTGAGCTCTTAGTTTGCACCAAGCACTGCGTCAAGTACTTCCAGAAGTAAACTGACCCCACAGCAGCCTTACTAGGTACGGGCTGTCATCTTCACTTTTACAGATGAGGAAACTGAGGCGCGGAGAGATGACGGGCCTTATGTGCCCAGCACGTGCCGTGGTGGTAGGGCGGAGCCCACACCCAAACCGCAGACACCGGCTCTGAGCTGTGCTTTTGTGCCCGCTGGTGTGTGTTTGCTCATAAAACCTGGGGTGGGGGGCATTGAGTGACTGCTGCATACCCGGTGTTTGATGTTGCCTATTCTGATGCTCACTGCAACTCTGACTTCAGTATGGATGTCATTTTACATACGGGGAAACTGAGGGTCAGAAGTTAGGTCGGAAGAGTAGGAATAGGTTCTTAGGAAGGCTCCCTGGGGGTTGCTTAAAAAGACATGAACCTCCAAGGCCCACGGGAACATGAGGGGCCGAGAGGCGCAGTGATGGGCTGGAGCGGTGAGAGCCGTGTCCGTTCTCCCTCCACGGTTCTGCCTGAGTCCCGGATCTGCGTGAAATGGGGACGGGGCTTCTGGAGCCCTGCGTGCTCAGCTGCTCCTGGCCTTGCTTAGTGTTTGCTGAACCCTGGGACTTGGCAGGACACAATTTGGAAACCAGTGTGTTCTGTGGTCTCCAGGCTCCCTTCCTGCCTTCCCATGCTAGGATTCTGAAGGAGAAGTTCCTTACCCTTCATTTAAGGATAAAGCTTCTTTCAGGACACAACCTTGGTCTTGGGATAGTCAGGATTCTAACCCAGGCATCTCTTTCCAGCTCGTCCATCTAAAGAATGACCAGCCGAGCAGCAAAAACCAGAAAGGCAAGTGAAACCTGTAACACCGTGGGACCCTCCAAGAGTTTATATCCAGAGGCACAGGAGTGGATCTGTGACAAAATTATTGACATCAGAAATGAGGCAGAGTCCCTTATGTCCAGTATCCCTCCTGATAGCCGAAAATACCATCTGAAAGGTTCCATGACATTCCACCAGAGTCCCCCGTTGCCTTTACACAACAAGAAAAGCAAATCTGTTCCTGCTCCATCGGGTAAGGCCTCCTCCTGTTTTTACCTTGCTTGAAAGGCAGTTGGCCATGAACCCTCCTGCTTATGGCGCTTCCAGGGCCTTCTTGGCACCCTGTAACTTTGAGGCAAGTAGGGAGACGGTGGTGAGTCTGAAGGCTAGGTTGGTATCAAAGGGTCTTCCATTAAGTTGGTTTTGAGAGAGTAAATGACTTGATTCTAGTTTTGATGCCCTGCGTTTCCTACCAGATACACAGAGTAGGTTCTCGTCAGCCCCCCTGATCCACCAACTGCTTTCTAGCATGCAGATAATCGTTTAGGGCACAGGGTTAGTCAGCCCTTTGGACTTAAGTCTCTCAGCCTGACTTTCCAAAACCAAAAGGCCTTTGCTTTTCTTTCTTTTAAGAAGCTTTCTTTGAAATGGAGAGGCAGCTTGGGCCTGTTTGGGGGCTGGGGTCCTGGGGGCACCAGTGTGTCAGCAACATTGGGTCGAGGAGAGGGGGGGCCGTTGCCGAAGGTCCCGGACCCACCGCGAAGAGAGGCTGGGGCCCAGTGGCAGTAAGACCAGCATCTTCTCTACTGTTCTTTTTCTTTTTTCCCTCCAGTCAGATATGTTCAACTTCGCGCAGCCCAGAAGAGAATTCATCTACTTTGGATCTCAACTTCCAGACCCCCTAATTTTTCTGCCTCTGACTTGAACCTGACTACCAAAATGACCATCAAAAACAGGGAAAACATCAGACAGACACCTTAATGTATATCTCAGAAGCATGTTACCATCTTGACTCTTGCCAACAGCAAGGGCTCTGAGTAAAGAGTCATTTTTGTTTTCCTGTAAAAACCTCCACTGTCTCGTTCTTGTTTTCCAGCCGGGGTGTGTGAGTGCACCCAGAAGTGGTCACTCTTGAGTTTCTAAGCTGAGGAGGAATTTTTTTCTCTTAAAATACTGCTTATCCTATTTAACAGTTACATTACTTAAGCATTTCAGAACGGACGTTCGATCTCGTAGAGGCCGTATGGGGTGTGCGAGGGACTCAGGATTGCTCACAAGAGCTCTCCTGGCTTGTTTCTCATAAACAGGAGGTTGCAAGATACAGTACGTCACATGTTACCATTATGTATTGTTTGTTTTTAACTCTGCCATCACCCGAGTGCACAGGCCCTGGCACCCCCAAATGCTCCAGGTCCTAGGAAGTGTGCTCTTGGGACAGTGTTAGCACCTGCTGTGCTCATCAGTGTTACTTTTTTGAAGTGCACCTTGGGGGTTTATTTCCAAAAATGTGCGGTGTTTTTATTGTACCTAAAGCGGTGTTTGGCTGCTGTCTGGTGGGGCACATGTCATTCCCCTAGTTGTTGGCAGCGTGTCGTCTTTGGGTCCTTGTGCCCACCAGGCCTGTGCTTTGGTGCCCACTCAGCCTTGGGATGCGGGCCCAGAGCTGCTTGCCTTTCCCTAGCCACTGGCTGCGAGTGAGCACAGAAGCAGTGCCATTCTTTGGTCCCCGTGATAGGTGTGCACACACACGCACACACACGTGTACGCACGTATGCATGTGCATACACATCTGCGCACACACGTTTGCATGCATGCGCACACACACAGGATAGGTTTCCTGAAATCCGTCAAATTCTGCTTATACACACCATCGACTAAAACTTGAATGCACAAACTCCTATTCCTAATGGGTTTTCTGGTGAATCACAACGAGTTTCAAGCAGGCTTATGTTCCTTTCTAGCCACCAGCCTTGGATTAGTAAAGGAAGGAATTCTTTCTGATCCCTTAGTTCTTGGCCATTCAAAGGACTGTACCATTGTTGTGGATTAGAGCTTGGTGCCTTAGATTTGAAAACTGTTTTTATACACTAGCTCTTCCGTATAGAAGGCAGAGACAATCATCCTGACAAATGAGTTTCTGGTATTCTTCTGCACAAATGTCACATGTTGGAACACTGTTACACCCGCATTTGTATGTGTGCTCTGTGAAATAAACTTTGCAGATAAAGCAAGTTTTCTTTTTCATTCTAATCACAAAACATGTACTGCTTACTGCTGGTGGTGTAAAGGTGACCGTAATAGGTAACCAGGCTTTGAATGGAGGCAAGTGGCAAGTTCAGTGGGAGGCGAGCAGATCCTCCGCTGCCCCCCCCCCCCAGCTCCCGGTGATGTGGCGCGGAGGTGCGAGCCTTGGCATTCTGTGCCCGTTTCGGTGCTTGTTAGCCTTGCCAGCCGTGGCTCTTCTCCCGGAGGCCGGTGATTGTAAAGTATTTTTCTGTTGGGCGCCTGGGTGGCGCCGTCAGTGAAGCGTCTGCCTTCGGCTCAGGTCATGATCCCGGGCTCCTGGGATCCAGCCCCGCGTCCCCCCGTCCCTCCCCCCAGCTCGCGTGTTCTAAGTAAATTAAAAAAAAAAATCTTTGACAAAGCTTTTTTAAAAAGTATCTGTTTAACTCTGGTGAAATTCACATTCACCACCTGTATCTGGTTCCAGAACATTTTCATCACCCTCAAAACACCCGTCCCCTTTAAGCAGTCACTCCCCACACTCTCCCCAGACCGTTTAGGCGCCTCACTCTTGGCGCCTGGCATGGAGGAGAACTGCGCGTGCGCTCAGGCGGTGCCGGGGCTGTTAATGCGCACATCTCTTCCTGACCTCCCCTTTCCCGTGCGTGGCTAAACCCCATGTTCTGACCTACCGCAGATGTTTAGTGACCCACCCGGAGACATGGGAGACATGCTCTGTTCTGCTCGGTTTGGTTTTCGTCGGACGAGGTCCCCGTTTATCCCGTCTTTGGGGTCTGGTGCCGAGGAGAACAGCGGCACCCGGCCCCACCTGGCCTTCCACGTTGTTGGTCCAGCTGCTGCGGCTGCCCACCCGGGACGCCCCGGGGCGCGCACACCACCCGCAACGCGCCCACAGCTCCCAGGTGGTGCACGCTGGCCGAGCCCCCTCCTCTCCCTGGGCCGGTGCCCTTGAACCTGGTGGGGGTACAGGACACCTTGGTTGCCTCACGTGTTCCTTCCTCTCTGGGCAGTCTCTCGGGGTCCCTGCCCCTGAGGGACAGGTCCCTAGCTTCTGCCAGTGGGTTCCGCGTGTGAGCCCGTTTCCTGCCCCTGCGTCATCTCGGGCAGGTAGGAAGCCTTGGGACGGCCCCGCCCCCGGGCCGCCGCCGCCGCCGAGCGCTATGCCACGCAGGGACTGCATATGCCACGCAGGGACTGCAAGTCCTGAGTCTTCGCTGAGGGGGCAGGGAGTTTGCTCTGGGACTTGACTTGCGTTTTCTTTCTTTCTTTCTTTTTTTAAGTATTTATTTGAGAGCGAGAGAGCACAAGCCGGAGGGAGAGGCAAAGGGAGAAGCGGGCTCCCCGCAGAGCAGGGGGCTCGACGCGGGGCTCTATCCCAGGACCCCAGGATCATGACCTGAGCAGAAGGCAGACAGCTTCACCGACTGAGCCACCCAGGCGCCCCTTGGCTTGCGTTTTCACGCGACTGTGCTATCATCTTGGAGTCCCCTTTTAGTCCCGAGGAATCCCTCCCTGTGGCGAGAGCCAGATCAGGAGGTGAGGCAGAAAGTGCCCCAGGAGTTTGTGCGAAGAAGCCAAAGCCTGGAGGCAGGCTGGACGCCACATTCCATCAGGGGCCCATTCCCGGTGGTGGCCCTGTTGGGTCCCCCGCCCCGGCCCCCGGGGCCATGCAGGCCTGGTTTGTCAAAGCAGGCCCTGGAAGAGGCCGCCTTGCTGTTGCAGTGTTCCTGGATGGGTGTGTCCAGGGGTTCCCCAAGTCTCGCAATAATTGTAGTTAATTTACACGTGCCATGTGCCAGGGATTATATTATTAGTCATCTTTTAAGGCCCTGTGAGGGTGGGTATTCATTTTTACCTAGGAGGACACAGATTGGTGCAGATTGGCACTCATTCAACCTCGTACAACTAGGAAGAAGCAGGGCTGATGCTCAAATTCAAGTCTGACCGTAAAGCCAACACCCCATCTTGCTTCGCAAGTGGGAAGGGTCCTGTGGCTTGCATGGCAGGTAACAGACTGCCTTTGGTGCTGGAGGTACAAGTAAATTTGCCAACATTTATCGAGTGCTTTTCCTGGGTGACAGTCACCCTGCTAAGCGCTCCTACTATGTGATCTGCATGTGATTCTGGGAGGTTGGAATTCTGTCTCCTCTTACAGGCGAGGGAGGCAGCTCCGAGGGGTCAGGTAAGCTTGCCTGTGGTCTCGGGGGGCATAGTGAGGGGCCGAGCAGCTGGGATTTGACCCCAGGCCGTCCGCTCCAGGACCCACCCTGTGCACCACAGGTAGGGACGTTCTTGATATTCTGACCCCCGTAATCACCAGGGAGAGCAGGGTTCTCTGAGGCAAAGTTGCTAACTAGAAATCGCCCCGCCTTCCTCCCGTGTCTTAGTCACTCTGCAGACTGAGTACTGGGCAGGGACCTGATGGTTTCCTCATTGTGATGCGGCCCACACTGCCTCTGCCACGGGGGCTCACCATTCCTATGGCGATGCCTGGTCTCAATGGCCCCCGGCAGACCTCTCGGGCCTTCCGCATTCCCATCTGGAAAACGGGGCGAGAGTGCCATCAGCGGGGGCTGTGAGGGTTCGCTATCGAGCCAGACCTGTTTCCCCCCAGCCTGCCAGGAGGCCAGGGGCGTGTGCTGGGCCGGGGAAGGCAAGGCCGAGCTGGCCAGGCCGCGGGCCGGGCTCGTGCGGCGCCCATAGCTGTGGTCGTGGTGCAGTGTTTTCGCAGCAGACCCCCGGCCTGTAGTGGGCTGGAGTCTTGCAGGCCTCGTGGGATCGGAAGGCTGAAGGGTGACACAGGGTGGAGGATGAGCGTAGAATCTAGGGCAGATGGGGGCAGTAGGGACTGGGGTGGGGGGCAAGCACCAGCTCAGTGAGGAGGAGGCCTGAAGGAAGTCCCCGCTCCATCCCAGGCTTGTCCCCTCTGGGCTCTGTCCCTTGCCATCTCTGTAAGCCAGCCAGCTCCCTTGGGAAGCAAAGGGGTGCCGCCCCAACTCCCCACCCCACCCCTGCTCCCTTGGGGCCTGAGGACCAGACATTTTTTGTGGTTTTAACTGCTCGTTTCTCTAGGGAGACAGACACAAGGGGATGTCACCTGTTCACAAAAATGCCCATGGTTTCTTGCTGACGGGTTTTGATTGCCTGCTAACACGGTCAGGTCCACGTTAGCACCAAAGGGTCCCCTGCCCTGTGGCCCCGATGCTCCTCAGACCGTCGCCCTCTCCCCGGGCTGGCCACCAGGGGGAGCGAGTTTCTCCCGGCGGCCCCCCTCCCCCCCCCCCGGGGGGCGGGCGCCGCAGCGGTTGACAGCAGCGGATCCGCACTCCGGAGGGCACAGCGAAGGGGCAGCCGACCAAATGGGGCCTGTGATCCTCTTACACCCTCCAGCGGCCATTCCCTTCCCACCCCCCCCACCCCCCATCCCCCACCCCCGGCCCCCAGCCAAAGAAAACCGATGCCCTTTTTAAGGGATGTGAGCATCTGCCAAATGCTTATTTTGGGTCAGAGTGGGTTTTTGTTGTTTTTAACTGGATCCAAGTGCTCTTACAGGTTTTATCTTGCTTAGAATTCCTCTGTTCTGTGCAACTGCACTGAGTCCGTGCTTGGAGGGAGGAAAACCATCATTGGGGTTCTGGGATGAGTCGTGTCCCCTGAGGGCAACCCCGGCGGCAGAAGTGAAAGGCCAGGCGAGTTATTTATATGCTGCTTTATTTCTGTAAGGATACACTGAAACGTTAGAGGATAATAGTGAATGACAAAACGTAGAAATGAGGCATCGGCTTTGCTAACCACTCCTACGAGAATGTTCATATGCACTGGCATTACGTGTTGACTCGTGATACTGTCTCATTATACTATGTCCTATAACAATGTCGATGAGAGTACAGGAAGGAGGGGAGCCTGCAGCTCAGGGAAGCGCTACGTGCGGCTCCGGTTCCGCCCGTGAGGGTGGTCGCCGCTCCCCCAGAGGTCCAGCTAAGCTCTGAGGGACAGTCCTAAGAGTCACAAGAGGAGGGACTGGGCGGGCCTGTTCACCGACAGGGACCAAGAGCAGGCAGCTACCGTGTTACAAGGGATTCAACTCGTCACTGTTCGGAAACATCCTATTGTGTCAGTGGCCGTCCTGGCGCCTGCTCAGCTACCCCTCTCGAGTGTTTGTAGGATGAATTTCAAAACTGCAGGAACGTTTGAGGGGGCGAAAATATCGACATGCAAGTCTCCAAACCCATAAACTATGTTACTATTCATTAAAACAAAATCATTAAAAAAAACAACAAAACAAAACAGAGAAAGGGCAGCTGGGTTAGTTTTGTTAAGCTTCCAGAAGGATTTGCTGTGACAATGTTCCTGTGAAACAGGCTCCTTCTCTCGGGTCGGCCTGCACTTTGCAAATCGCCTGCACGTTCCACGCTTGAAAGTAGGAACGTTCAGAAAACACGCCACACGGGGGAAATGGAGGTTAGTACTGGGGCGGGGTGGGGGGGGAGGTCAGTTTAGAGGGACTTACAGCTAAAGTTCAAATGTTAACTTTCTGGAAATTCGTGTTAGTCGTTTGAAAGCACAAAAGAACCGAAGGGAGATCCTGATGCGGAAGTTCAACCATGCATTTCGGTAAGCTCGCTTTCTGCTCACGGAAGTCGTGGGCAACCGCTGCAACTCTCGCGGGTCCCGGGGACGCGGTGGGTCCCCGGGGAGGGGGGGGGGGGACGTGGCGGGTCCCGGCTGAGTCGCGAGACGCAGCTCAGCGGGGGTCCCGCACCGTGGCGTCTCGCTCGCATCCCTAAGCAGCTACGTGGCCGGCGCGGGCCGGCGCTAGGACAAGCATGCAGAAGAGCGGCTCTAGCTACGCGCGGGTGTCCTCACGGCACCGGGGGTGGGGGAACCGAAGCGGGCGGCTACACCCTAGTGCGGTCGCGGTGACAGGCGCCCTCCGGGGAGGGACACCGTGAAATGGGGGCAGCGGCAGGAGGAGCGCTCCGGAGGG